AGTTGCTTAAAAATCCACAAAAATTTCCTGGAAATCGTTCTCGACAAGCTGATTCGGAAAATACGATGTGTTTTTTTTAAATCCCCAAAATTGCCGTTTTTCTAAAAGCGATTTTGAAACATGGCAAAAGTTTTCGAAGAAGTGAAACCGAAAGTAACTTCTGGAGACCGAAATCTACGAAAAAATGTCTGGGTAATTTTCAAAGCTTTTCAAGAAATCGCCAAAAATTTTAGACGTATTGAAAAATTGGGCTTTTGGAAAAGTTACATAAGAATGCATAAAAAAATTTGGGACATGGTTCTCGACATACTGAAGAACATGGAGTTTTGAGCTTCCCGGTAGATTTTCGAAATTTTGGGTTTGAAATTAAGATTTTTAAGAGTTCGAAAAATTGACATTTTTCATCGAAACAAATTTCTGGGTAATTTTCGAAAATGTTTGAGATACGTTTCAAAAATCCATTGAAAAATTGAGCTTTCCGAAGAGTTGCCCAAAATCCCAAAATCAATCTGGGAAATGGTTCTCGACGGAGCAAGATTTTCGAATTGTCAAGTTCTTTTTAAAAATTCTGGAAATTGCCGTTTTTCATAAAAGCGATTTTGAAAAAATGGTAGAAATTTTCGAGGAAAGGAAGCCGAAAGTAACCTCTGCAGGTCGAAATGTACAAAAAATTTTTGAAATAGTTCGAGAACTACCAGAAACTGCATATGTCATAATTTCATATTGAAAAGTTGAGCTTTTAGAAAAATTGACAAAAACCCACACAAAATTCCTGGAAATGGTTCTCGAAGGGTTGATTCGAAAAACGTTACGTTGAGGGTCCCGGACTATGCATTTCGAAGAATTTTTTGAAAATTAAATTTTTTTAGAATCTCAAAAATCGCTTCAAAAACCCGATTTTTTAAATTAAAGAGTAGAAATTTTCGAAAAACTGAATCCGAAAATAACTTCTGGATATGGTTAATTTTCGTAAATCTACGAGAAACGACCACTAATTAAATAAATCTAAATCTTTCAGTGTATTGAAAATTTGAGCTTTTGAAAAATTATTGTTTAAAAAAAAACAAAAAATTTTGGACATGGTCCCAGATCAAGGTTTTCGAAATATCAGGTCCGAAACTCAGATTTTTTACAAATTTTGAAAATTGCCGTTTTTCATAAAGGCAATTTCGAAAAAAAAGGAGGAATTTTCGAAGAAATTAAACCAAAAGCAAATTCTGGATATCGAAATCCACAAAAAATCTGTGGATGTTCATTTAAATTACTTTTTTGGTAACAATTTAATCATAACATTTAAATAAATCAAAGCAAAAAATTAATTTTCTTTTAGTTTTTTATATTTAAACGCTGAAATTAGCGCTATAAGATAATTTTGGGTTTAGAATTAAGATTTTTTAGAAGTTCGGAAAATTGACGTTTTTTATCAAAAAAAACTCTCGGCAATTTTCGAAAATGTTCGAGAAACGTCAAAAAAATTCATTGAAATACTGAGCTTTTGGAAGAGTCGCCTAAAAATTCACAAAAAACTTTGGAAATAGTTCTAGACGTGCTAGCTCGAGGAACGTCGTGTGTTAAGGTCCCGCACCAAGATTTTCGAAATTGGGTTTTTTAAAAATTCTGAAAATTGCCATTTTCATAAAGGCGATTTTGAAAAAAGGTAGAAATTTTCGAAGAAATGAAGCCGAAAGTAACCTTTGCAGGTCAAGATCTACAAAAAATTTAAGAACGTTTTGAAAGTGTTCGAAAAACTACCTAAAATTCATATTTCATAATTATTTCGTTATGAAAAATTGATCTTTTGGAAAATTTACTAAAAACCCCTACAAAATTCCTGGAAATGGTTCTCGAAGGGCTGTTTCAAAAAACATTACTTGTTAAGGGCCCTACGCGTTTCGAAGAATTTTTGAAAATTAAGTTTTTTATAATCTCAAAAATCACTTCAAAAATGCGATTTTTGAAATTAAATAGTAGAAATTTTCGAAGAAATGAATCCGAAAATAACTTCTAGATACCTAAATCTACAAAAAAATCTCTATCGTTAATTTTCGAAAATTCTCCAAAAACGGGCATCGGTTATTTCATTCGGTGGTGTATTAAAAAAATTTGAGCTTTTGAAAAGCCGTCTAAAAAAAATACAAAAAATTTGAACATGATTCTCGACGTGCTGATTCGAAAACGTTCAAAATTCAGATAATTTTCGATATTGTTTGAGAACCATCAAAAAAATGCGTGGCTTCAGAGGTGGTCTGAACAATTGAGCTTTTGGAAGATTTACCTAAAAAAATCCACAAAAAATTGGGTGTCAATGATCCCGGATTCAGACTTTCGAAAAATCAGGTCCGAAATTTAGAATCGCCATTTTTCGTTAAGGCAATTTTGAAAAAAGTAGGAATTTTCGAAAAAATGAAACCAAAAGCAACTTCTGGATACCGAAATCTACAAAAATCTCTAGGTAATTTTTGAAAGTTTTCGAGAAACGCCCAAAAATTGAAAAAAAAATCGTTTCAATGACTTTTTTGTAACAATTTAAACATTTAAATAAATAAAAAAAAAAATTTAAACAGTTTTTATATTTAAATATTGAAATTAGCGCTCTGAGGGTCCCAGACCAAGATTTTGGAAATATTTGTTTTGAAAATTTGATTTTTTTTTTTTTAATTGCTTTTCACAAAAGCAATTTTCCAAACATCCGTTTGGGTAATTTTCGAAAGTGTTCAGAAACGGTCAAAATTTCAAGGAACTATTGAAAAGGGGAGCTTTTGCAAAAGTTGCTTAAAAACCATAAAAAACTCTGGGATCTCGACGTGTTGATTCAAAAAACATGGCATGTTGAGGGTTCAGTACCAAGATTTTCGAAATATTTGTTCCGAGAATCTTTTTTTTTAATATTAAAACCTAAAAATGATTTTTTTTAAATCCAAAAGTTGTCACTCCATAAAAGCGTTTTTGAAAAATAATGGTAGGAATTTTCGAAGAAATGACACCAAAAGTAATTTCTAGAAGTCGAAGGCTACAAAAAGTCTTTGGGTAATTTCCGAGTGTTCAAAAACGACCAAAAACTTGAAACGAAAAATTGAATTGTTGGAAAAGTTGTCTTAAAATCCACAAAAATTCCGGAAAAACCCACCACACACCAAGTTTTTTGAAATAATAAGTTTGAAATTCAGATTTTGCAAAATCTGAAAGCTGCCATTTTCCATAAAGGCGATTTTGAAAAAATAGTAGGATTTTTCAGCGAGGCAGAGCCAAAAATAATTCCTGAATGTCTAAGACTGCACAGAAATTTTTTGGGGTAATTTAAAAATTGACTAAAAATCCATAAAAATTCCTATAAAATGGTTCTCGACGTGTTGAGGTCCGGGATTCCGAAATATTGGGTTTGATAGTCGAATATTTTAAATGAAAAAATATACCAGTGCAAATTTTATGTATTGAAAAATTTTGGACAACTATTTCGACCAAACAGTGATAAATCATGAAAGTAGAAGCCTCTTCATTTGTAGAATATAGTACCATCAGTTCTTGGAAAACGAAAAAAAACTAGGAGTAATCAATAAAGGTACATGACACGAAGTATCCATGTTTTCTATCCTGCTTCACTGCCCATTAAATAACCTTTGCTACAATTCCTACATTTCATTAATAAATGCATAAATTAGTGAAGATAAAAATGAAGATAATCAAATTATTGTAGACATGCATGCGTTAATGTAAATTGTGGCAGAAGGCTCAAATGTTTATGCAGAAAACTAATCAGATTGTGGTCGTAGTACAGTGATGAATGTGATTTAAATTTAAAGACTTTGATAGTGATGATGATGCTTGCTACTAGTTATATAGTTGTACCGCTTCAAGTCACACATAAAATATTCATCCTGTTCTTCAGATCACATCAGATAAATTTCAGCACGTAGCAGTACTATATAGTAAGTACTTAATAATTCCTCTTAATTATAATATACAAACGTTTAAATAAATCGAGTAACAGATGTTCACTAAGACGATTAGTAGTAGTGTGTATGGATATTTGTCCTGCATGTTATAAAATAAATGTATTCACCTTCATACAAACGAATTGTTTAGTTAGAAATTTTACCAAAATATGACAGGCGATTTTTGAGTTTTTACCAGATGTAGCTGGTGGTGCATTGACTTTGATGTTTATATAAAAAATATTAGTAAATTTCAGGATCCAGTAAAATTCAAACCAGATGGACCCACAGCAGCGGGGGACTGTCACGTTTGACGTTAGTTGGGTTAAGACTTTATTATCGTGCTTTGTTTCTCAGGATGAATGATGATTCGAATGAAAAACACCGAAATTCTGAATTTGTTTTATTATTACTTACTTCTCCATTATAAAAATTATAACAAGGTCCACTAAAATAAAAATTATGTTCTTAAATCGAATGACGCAAAAACTTCAACATTCGATCCATTTTTAATCGCTCTGAATGAAAAACCGCCTCCGCAAACTATCCATTCTTTCGCCGTCACCGATATTTTCCGGTAAGCAATCAGTCCACTGTTTATTCGGTTTTATTTTTTCCACATCCATTCTAATTATTGCTGTGTATACTGTGAGCGTTCTATTTATTCACATACACGTAAAATGGTACACTTTGAGTGGTTTTTAGTACTGTTTTACAACCAGCCTGCGACCAGCTTGAGTAATTTTTAAAACTTCAACCCTTCTTCCACTTCCTCGTCCAGCACATATGCGCCTCGTCTCCGGCGCTTCTTTCCGCGTTCATATTGACGTTAACGACGCCCTTTTTCGGCGCGTTTGCAATAAAACCGCGTCACTCGTATCCGCCGGGGCGCCGACTTGGCAAAATTTTGACCGCGAGCTTCCTGCCGTCGTGGGGCGACTCCGTAACGAAAATAAACAACACTAATAGCAATATTTCTGCTTTGTGGCATTCTTCAAGGCTCCGTCTGACTCCAGTCCTGTTTTCTGTATATACCTACGACTTTTTGTTAAAGTTTCGTTTTTGCAGATTGGCGGTGGGCGACAGCGCCTGCAGTCCGCAAAGCGGCCACTCCTCCTCCACCTGCAGCTCACCCCCGGCCACCGCCTCCACCGCCACCAACCACGCCGATGTTTCGTCAACGACGTCGACGTCCTCCACCTGCGTCCCGCCGAACTTCACCTCCTCCTGGTCGATACTGGGCGAGACGACGGGCATCAAAAGCGAAATCAGGAGTCCGGGATTGGCGGACAGCGAAGTGGCGGCGCTCTCTCAGGATCCATTAGCGTTCTACGGAACGGCGGCGGAACTGGGGAACTTGTACGATAAGGAGTACAGTCAATCGTACTCGGCTCAACAGTATTACAACAGGTTGGGAGGTTTCCTTGATGCATTTTTTTTTTAAACGTTTGTCTGATTAGATTACGCCCGTTGAGAAAAAGAATCAGTATTGTGCTTCAAAAATTATGAAAAGTGAAAATTTTTAGCTAAAATTTAGTACACAACAAATCAAAACAATGTGGAAAGTTTTCAAAAGGCAAGTCATATTTATAGTTAATATTAAATTTGATAAATTACTTTGAGAGATAACGAATTAACTAGGGAAAAAACGACCACAGATGTTCTTAATCTACGAAAGCTTATTATCTATCTAAAGACCGGGTCATCAGCTCTATTTGATGCGTAATAAATGGAATTTTAAGCAAATTCTTGAAAATTTCGTATCATTTTCTGTCACTTTTGGACAAAAGTGATTATACGAAAGATAAATTTCAAACAATGTTTTGTGTACAAAAAAATCTGGGCAAAAATGATCATATTCTTCATCTACAGATGATAAAATTTCAAACACGCTTTCTAGCTATATTTCAATAGTTTCGGCAAAAACGACTATAGATTCTTAATCTACGTAAGATGATCTATCCGATACTGTGATCATTTGCCCGATTAGATGCTTAATAATTGAGTTTTAAGCATTTTTTTTTTAATTTCATACGGTTTTCGGTTTATATCTACGAAAGATGAAATTTGAAAAATGTTTTCTATTTATATTTGAACATTCCGGGCAACAAAGTTCATGTTGGTGATTAAGGTAACATAAAATTTCACACGTTTTCTGGCCATATTTCAACAGCTTCGACAAAAGCAACTATAGATTAGATTATTAATCTACTGTAGTCAATCTACCCGATACTATGACCATTTGCCTGATTAGATGCTTACTAACGGAGTTTTGGCCAATTTTTTTGAAATTTTAGATCATTTTTGGTTATATTTAAACAGTTTGGAAAAAAATGGCCACATTCTTGATCTACGGAAGATAAATTTCAAACAATTTTTTGTGTACAATGAGCAGTCTGGGCAAAAATGATTATATTCTAAATTTACGGACAGTAAAATTTCAAACACGCTTTCTGGCTATATTTCAAGAGTTTCATCTATGGAAGATAATCTATCCTATACTGTGTTCATTTGCCCGATTAGATGCTTAATAATGGAGTTTTAGGCATTTTTTGTTTATTTCAGACCGTTTTCTGTTATATTTACACAGGTTGGGCAAAAATCATCGTATTCTTGATCTACGAAAGATAAAATTTGAAAAACGTTTTCTATCTATATTTGAACAGTCTGGGCAAAAAATATCATGTTCGTGATTAAGGGAAGATTAAATTCCACACACGTTTTCTGGCCATATTTCAACAGCTTCGACAAAAACAACTATAGATTAGATTCTTAATCTACTGTAGATGATCTATCCGATACTATGACCACTTGCCTGATTAGATGCTTACTAACGGAGTTTTGGCCAATTTTTTTGAAATTTTAGATCATTTTTGGTTATATTTAAACAGTTTGGAAAAAAATGGCCACATTCTTGATCTACGGAAGATAAATTTCAAACAATTTTTTGTGTACAATTAGCAGTCTGGGCAAAAATGATTATATTCTAAATTTACGGACGGTAAAATTTCAAACACGCTTTCTGGCTATATTTCAAGAGTTTCATCTATGGAAGATAATCTATCCTATACTGTGTTCATTTGCCTGATTAGATCCTTAATAATGGAGTTTTGGGCATTTTTTTTAATTTCAGACCGTTTTCTGTTATATTTACACAGATTGGACAAAAATCATCGTATTCTTGATCTACGAAAGATAAAATTTGAAAAACGTTTTCTATCTATATTTGAACACAACAGGCAAAAAAGATCATGTTCGTGATTAACGGAAGATAAAGTTTCACACGTTTTCTGGCCATATTTCAACAGCTTCTACAAAAACAACTATAGATTACATTCTTAATCTACTGTAGATGATCTATCCGATACTATCACCATTTGCCTGATTAGATGCTTATTAACGGAGTTTTGGCCAAATTCTTTGAAATTTTGCATCATTTTTGGTTATATTTAAACAGCTTGGGAGAAAATTACCACATTGTTGATCTACGGAAGATAAATTTCAAACAATTTTTTGTATACAGCCTGTTATTGAAAGGTACGTACACAATAAAATCGGTAATTGGTCTCGAAGTATGGGTGCTAAAAGTTAAAAAAAGTTCAGGTAAAAGTGTTCTCCTTTTAGAGATAAAATTTATTAAAATTTATTTCCAAATTCGTTGTACGCCTCTGATAAAAAGATCATCTTTCGTTTCTATAGCAACATTTAGTCTTGACAAAAGTTTTATTGTTACAGTTGCTAGGATTTACTAAAATAAATTAATTTTACCTATTTATCCTTCAGTAGCGTCTAAAAAGGTTGGATAAGGGTTAATTTTCCCCTTATAATTTTGATAACACAAAATAAGTTTTTCCGACTTCTTAGATTTTGCGAAGAACTGTCCATTTTGTTGTACGTACCTTTCAATAACACCCTGTATATTTGAGTAGTCTGGGCAAAAATGATCATATTCTTAATCTACGAACGATAAAATTTTAAACACGCTTTCTGGTTATATTTCAAGAGTTTCATCTATGGAAGATAATCTATCCTATACTATGTTCGTTTGCCCGATTAGATGCTTAATAATGGAGTTTTAGGCATTTTTTTTTTTATTTCAGACCGTTTTCTGTTATACATATTTACACAGGTTGGGCAAAAATCATATTCTTGATCTACGAAAGATGAAATTTGAAAAACGTTTTCTATCCAAATTTGAACATTCCGGGCAAAAAAGATCATATTCGTGATTTAGGGAAGATACAATTTCACACACGTTTTCTGGCCATATTTCAACAGCTTCGGCAAAAACAACTATAGATTAGATTCTTAATATACCTACTGTAGATGATTTATCCAGTACTAAGACCATTTGCCTGATTAGATGCTTATTAACGGAGTTTTGGCCAAATTTTTTTCAAATTTTCGATCATTTTTGGTTACATTTAAACAGTTTGGGAGAAAATGACCATATTCTTGATCTACGGAAGATTTATTTCAAACAATTTTTTGTGTACGTTTGAGCAGTCTGTGCAAAAATGATCGTATTCTTAATCTACGGACGATAAAATTTCAACCACGCTTTCTGACTGTATTTCAAGAGTTTCGGCAAAAAGGACTGTAGATTCTTAATCTACGGAAGATGATCTATCCGATACTGTGATCATTTGCCCGATTAGATGCTTAATAATGAAGTTTTGGGCATTCATTTTAATTTCAGACCGTTTTCTGTTATATTTAAACAAGTTGGGCAAAAATTATCGTATTCTACGGAAGATTAAATTTGGAAAACGTTTTCTATGCAAATTTGAACGGTCCGAGCAAAAAAGATCATATTCGTGATTTAGGGAAGATAAAATTTCACACACGTTTTCTGGCCATATTTCAACAGCTTCGACAAAAACAACTATAGATTAAATTCTTAATCTACTGTAGATGATTTATCCGGTACTATGACCATTTGCCTGATTAGATGCTGATTAACGGAGTTTTGGCCAATTTTTTTTAAATTTCAGACCGTGTTCTGTCATTTTTAAACAGATTGGGCGAAAATGAACACATTCTTGATCTACGGAAGAGGAAATTTAACAATTTTTTTGGTCATGTTTCAACAGCTTGGGCAAAAATAATCACATTCTTAATCTACCGAAGATAAAATTTTGAAACACGTTTTCTGCTTATATTTGCCCAGATGGGGCTAAAACAACTATAGACTCTTAATCTGCAGAAGATTAGACATCCAATGCTGTGGCCAATTGCTCGATTAGATGCTTAATAACGGAGTTTTGGGAAACTTTTTGAAAATTTCGAACAAGTTTTCCGTCCATTTTGAACATTGGGTAAAAATGGTAATATTCTTGATCTGCGGAATATAAAATTTCAAACATGTTTTCTGGCCATATTTCAACAGTTTCGGCAAAATAGATTGTAGATTCTTAATCTACGGAAGATGATCTATCCGATACCGTGATCATTTGCCCAATTAGATGCTCAATAATGCAGTTTCGGGCTTTTTTATAATTATAGATCATTTTCTGTCTTATTCAAACAGCTTTGGCGAAAATGATCGTATTCCTGATCTACGAACGATAAAATTTCAAAAACGTTTTCTCTCCATATTTGAACTGCCTGGACAGAAATGATCATATTCATAATCTAGGGATGATCAAATTTCACATATGTTTTCTGGTCATAATTCAACAACTGCAGCAAAAACGATTGTCGATTCCTAATCTATGGAAAATGATCTATCCGATATTGCGACCATTTGTTTGATTAGATGCTTAGTAACGAAGTTTTGGCCCAATTTTTTAAAATTGTAGATGATTTTCTGTCATTTTTAAACAGCTTGGGCGAAAATGAACACATTCTTGACCTACGGAAGAGGAAATTTAAGTTTTTTGGTCATATTTCAACAGTTTGGGCAAAAATGATCACATTCTTAATCTACCAAAGATAAAATTTTGAAACGCGTTTTCTGATTATATTTGCACAGATGGGGCTAAAACAACTATAGATCCTTAATCTGCGGAAGATTAGACATCCTATGCTGTGGCCAATTGCTCGATTAGATGCTTAATAACGAAGTTTTCGGAAACTTTTTGAAAATTTCCAACAAGTTTTCCGTCCATTTTGAACATTGAGTAAAAATGATAATATTCTTGATCTACGGACGATAAAATTTCAAACACGTTTTCTGGCCATATTTCAACAATTTCGGCAAAATAGATTGTACATTCTTTATCTATGGAAATGGTCTATCCGATATTGTGATCATTTGCCCGATTAGATGCTCAATAATGGAGTTTCGGACTTTTTTTTTAAATTTCAGATCATTTTCTCTCTTATTCAAACAGCTTTGGCGAAAATGATCGTATTCTAGATCTACGGAAGATAAAATTTCAAAAACGATTTCTGTCCATATCTGAACTGCCCGGGCAGAAATGATCATATTCGTGGTCTAGAGAAGATCACATTTCACATACATTTTCCAGTCATAATTCAACACCTGAGGCAAAATAGATTGTAGATTGTATGGAAGATCCGATATTGCGACCATATCTGTTTGATTAGATGTTTAGTAACGAAGTTTTAGCCATTTTTTTTAATTCTAGATCATTTTCTGTCATTTAAACAGCTTGACAGAAGACAAAATTTTGAAACACGTTTTCTGATTATATTTGCACAGCTAGGGCAAAAACAACTATACATTCTTAATCTATGAAAAATGATCTATCCGATACTGTGACCATTTGCCCGCTTAATGACAGTTTTCTGTCATTTTTAAACAGTTTGGGGAAAAATGACCATATTATAGATCTATAGAAGATAAAATTTCAAACACGTTTCCTGGGCCATATTTCTATAGCTTCGGCAAACTCGACTGTTTTTTTTATCCAAAAAATTATATATTAGTTATAGATTAGGGAAAAATGGAAGGAGCTAGCGGAAAATAATCTATCCCATACTGTGTGTAACCATTTGCCCATTTAGATGCTTAATAACGGAGTTTTTGAGCAATGTTTTTAAAATTGCATACTATTTTCTGTCATACATAAACAGTTTGAGCAAATATGACCATATTCTTGATCTACGGAAGATGATCTATTTGATAAAGATAAAATTTTAAACACCTTTTCTGTCTATATTGGAACAGTCCAGGCAAAGATCTTTTTCTTGATCTACGGAAGATCAAATTTAACCTATTTTTAGGCCAAAAACGATCATAGATTTTTGATCTATGGAAGATGTAGCTATTAGTTCGATTGGATGATTACTAATACAAGTTTTGGGAAATTTTTTCACGCATTGTGTGTACTTAAATTCAAACAGCTTGGGCAAAAGTAGCCACATCATTGGTCTACGGAAGAAAAAATTTCAAAAACTTTTTCTTACCATATTTGAACACCTGGGATTCACACGATCATAAATACTTAATGATCATGTATACGATGCTGTATCTATCAAACCGATTATATGCTTAATAACAAAGTTTTAGACAATTTTTTAAAATAAATCTCAAACCCCTTATTTAAACAGCTGTTTTCAAACCAACCACAGATTCTTAATGTACGGAAGACTGTCACCTACCCAATCCTGTCGAATTTTCTCCACAACAGGTTGTCAATGTCACCACTGACACCCTCCTCACTTCTTTTTTATTTTTAGCATGCAACAAGCTTACGGCACAACGAACTCCGCGACGTCCTCCTACATGAACCCATCGTCTTTCTACAACGCATCCTCGTACCCGTACTCATCCCTGGGCTCGTCGAGGGGGTTGAACCCTTCGTGTAAGGCCAGTTCAGGGTACATAGCATCCCCATACTCGTCGCCAGCGTCGCCCTTCCAAGGAAGCGGACAAGGCCAGTACTCGCCCTACGCATCGTACACAGCACCGGGGTCATCCACGTTCGCACAAGGCTTTTCCGCACAGGTTGTATACAAAAAAATTGATAAGATAACGAAATGACAGTGATTATGTAGGGGGTCGAGTACGGGACGTACAGTTCGGCCTACAGCGACTCGCAAACGCCTCAGTACGCCTCAAGCTACTATGCTTCGCAGACCTATTCACCCTATGTTAGTTCGCCGAGTTCGAGCGGCAGTCTGGGGGCCTCGTCGTACCAGTTGGCGGCTACTTCCGTCCCAGGTAAAGAGCAAATATTCTTCGTACTAAATAAATAAGACAGAAGTCGAGATAATAGTTTGTTTTATTGATAAAAAAAAATTAGAACGTTTGTTGTGAATCATCCTGTATATTTACAAAGTCGCAGTCAGAAACTCCCTCCCGTTACCTATTATATCAAATGGGATTTCGCTAATCTGGCTTACGTCACTTGTCATTCGCTCATCTGTCATCTTCCGTAAATAAACATAACCTCACTCCCGTGCCAAAACCGCAATGCTATGCCCCTACAGCGACACCAGCGACTCGGACACCGATAATGGTACCCCTTTTCGCCCCCCTAACCCATCTACTTCTCTTTCTTCTAGACAGCCCCTCGAACGGCATCACCCTCACCGACGGTTCGGCGTCCCCTCTGAAGGCCGACAGCGCGCGGCGCTCCCGGGAGCCCCCTGCCCTGGGCGCGGAACACAGGGGCACCCGCGGCAGGGGCAGACGCACCAACACCGTGTCCCCCACCACGCCCGAGTCCACCACGGACCGGGTGTTCATCTGGGACCTGGACGAGACCATCATCATCTTCCACAGTCTACTCACCGGCGGCTTCGCCAGCAAGTTCCAGAAGGACGCCGAGATCGCGTCGCAGCTGGGGCTCAACATGGAGGAGCTGGTGTTCAATCTAGCCGATGCGCATTTCTTTTTTGGTGATATTGAAGTACGTGGGTGTCGGTGTGTTGGGTTGTTCTGATTACGTGTTTTGCAGGATTGTGATCAAGTGCACATCGACGACGTGTCGTCGGACGACAATGGACAGGATTTGTCGAATTACAATTTTAGTTCGGATGGGTTTCACGCGTCGGCGTCCATCACGGGGGGGAACTTGTGCCTGGCGACGGGGGTGAGAGGGGGCGTGGACTGGATGCGCAAGCTGGCGTTTAGGTATAGGAAGATCAAAGAGACTTACAATAATTACAGGAACAGGTAGGGGCTTAAAGCAGTGTTTTGTTGATTTAAGTTGGTTAAAACAAAAATCCCCACGTTTTGTAGTGTTGGCGGCCTGCTGGGATCCACGAAGCGCGAGCGGTGGCTGCAGCTGCGGGCGGAGATCGAAGCCTTGACTGACAATTGGCTGACGTTGGCGAACAAATGCCTAACGTTGATTAATTCAAGGACGAATTGTGTGAACGTCCTGGTGACGACCACGCAGCTGATTCCAGCGTTAGCCAAAGTACTGTTATTTGGTTTAGGCGGTGTTTTTCCTATCGACAATATTTACTCAGCCACGAAAATAGGTTGGTAGTTCTGAGAATGTGCAAACGTCAGTTTTAATTCGATTTTGACAGGGAAAGAAAGTTGTTTCGAGCGGATAGTGGCGAGGTTCGGACGAAAGTGTACATACGTAGTGATCGGCGACGGGCAGGACGAAGAGGCGGCCGCAAAAGCAATGAATTTTCCGTTTTGGCGGATATCGAGCCATAGTGAAATAGCGGCATTGTACAATGCGCTAGATATGGAATTTTTATGATTTAATTTTATGCGACGATTTTTATACTTTTTGTTTTTTTAAGGAGATTCTTTATATGTTTTGTGGATGTATTATAAATGTACATAATAAAAAATTGTAATAAATGTCAGATATTATTGTTGCGGGGGAAATATTACGAAAATTGTGGACTGTGATGATGTTTTCGTAATATTTTTGAAGTGACGTATATGTGCTAATAAAGCAATTATTTTATACTTTCGTGGATTAAGTGCACATACACATGTACTCGATACAATGCAGAACATGGCGGATACCAAAATGATATTCATACTTAAAACTGCTTCAACTGTAAGTTAGATTGTTTTCATATAAATGTATAAATCTAATAAATTGTATATAATATATTAACACTGCGTTTCATTTTCGTTTACAACCAAGTGTACATAAAAACAAATCTACTTTGTAGATTTTAAACCCTTACAATCATTCAAGGTCGCTGACGTTGGGTTTTCAACCAATCAAATTGTGGTAGTATGCAGTCCTGCCAACTTGAAGGAAAATTCCCTGAAGTAGGGGGGGCATTTTTCTGGTTGACAGAACTAATTCCACGAAAATCAAATTTTGATACAGATAATGTGGTCCATTAATATTAAGCGATTTAATCACCTGCTCATATTTTAAATGGCTGCCATCATTTTCTATACTTTAGCTTTCTGTCAGTACTTATGCATTGTTAAAGATAGTTCTCGACGTTTAAATAAAAAAAAATTATTGCTATTCGTCTCAAAAACAGATTAGGTATTAAATATAACTACCAAGGCTGCAGGCGAGCCCAAAAATCACCAAAACACCAAGATCTCTAAACTGTTCACAAATTTGTAATATTTTAGCACTGATTTTGTAAAAAAATAATTGGTTGAACCTTATAGACATTATTTTACATTTTGAGGAATTGATGTGAAGATTATTTCTATCACAGTAATTTTTAAACGAGTCAATGCTGTCTTGTAACTTAATGCAATCAAAATATGAATTTATAAGGTTAATCTGCATAAATATAAAACTTACAACTAACGTATTTATGTATATCATTGAAAAATATAATAAACAAGAGTGGACCCTTGGAGCCTTGTGTAACCCCACTATCATAAATTGTATTCGTAATTATTATTGTTATATTGAGAGAAATAAAATAGATTGTCTAGGAATGGGAACTGGAAGAAATTGTGAAAATATTATTTTGAGTTTACACTTTTTACGAAAATCTAGATTTTCATAAAATTCAAAAATCCCTTTTGCTTTTTTAATTAAAATGAATTTATCTTGAAAGTTGTAAATGTTTTATATTTCTTGTAGAGAAATAAGCATTTTGCAATTAAGCTCCGCCCCCTTAGCTCACGACGAATAAAAAAATCATCACAATTGAGATAGGGCGGGTGGGCGGGGCTTACATTTGGCCTTTTTTGCTTAATATGTGTAGTCATCTTTTCACAACAAGAAGCTTAAAACATGGTTAAAATGGTACATTTTTGCGAGGATATATAGATTTTGTAATTACGGGGCGGAGCCTAATAACATGTTTTAAGATTCATCTTTTGAAAAGAAGTCTACAAATATTAAAACAAAAAGGCAAAATGAAAGCCCGCCCACCCGCCCTATCTCAATTGTGATGATTTTTTTTATTCGCCGTTCCGCAAGAGGGCGGAGATTAATTGCAAAATACTCATTTCTTTCCAAAGAAATTAAAAACATGTTTTTGGGTATCGTCTTGTTCAAAAAATACTATCCATATTAAGAAAAAAACAGCAAAATATAAACCCCGCCCACCCACCCCATCTCAATTGTGATGATTTTTTTATTCTTAGATACCGAAAACGCGTTAAAAATGATAAAATTTGTTGCGATAACTCGAAGGACCAATTGTAATAAATACAATAAAAATACGGTGGCGCTTGAATATGTATATTTGTACGATGTTAACAGTCTCAAGTCCAAATTCTTACTCTGCTATTTTTACAAACTATACCTAATTATAAAGACTTGGCCCCACAAAAGGGTGCCGCACCCTCACATTGGGTGATTAAGAAATTCGCTGCAGTCGGGTGAGAGAGCCGCCGTGCAGGTGGCTCGAACAAAATTTTTATAAGGAAATACGGATTTTGCAATTAGGCTCCGCCCCCTTGGCTCACGACAAATAAAAAAAAATTATCAGAATTGAGATAGGGTGGGCGGGCGGGGCAGTCTACCTTTTTGCCTTTTTTTCCTAATATGTGTCGTCATCTTTTCACAACAAGAAATGGTAAAATGGTAAATTTGTATGTGGAAATATCAATTTTGCAATTACGCTCCGCCCCTCGGTCTGACAACGAATGAAAAATTCATCACGATTGAGATCGAGACGGATGGGAGGGGATTCCCTTTTGGTTTTCTTTTTTAATTAATTTAGTTTTCTTTGTATAACACGAGTACTTAAGAACATATTTCACATTCTATGTAAAGGTATAACCGTTAATAAACATAACATTACATTGTAATTTCTCGTAGAAAAATACGGATTTTATAACTAAGCTCCGCCCCTCGGCCTACTACGAATAAAAAATATCATCAGAATTGAGACAAACAATGAAAAATTTAAAACTGAGAGACGAAAAATGGCAAAAATGAAAACAACGAAAAATTAAAAAGTGAGAAAACGAAAATGGACAAAATTCAAAACAACGAAAAATTAAAATATCTTAAAATTGAAAAATGGAAAAAATGACATCCTGTGAAAAAATAGGGGGCGGGTGGGCGGGGCTAGTACTTGGTGAGATAAGACTGATTTTGGCAAATGATACCTTCCAAGAAAGTAAAGGGTGGGTGGGCGGGGCTAGTACTTGATAAGATAAGACTGATTTTGGCAGACGACATATCGTCTAAGAAAGTAAAGGGTGGGTGGGCGGGGCTAATACTTGATAAGACTGATTTTGGCAAATGACATAAAAATTAAAATAACCAAAAATTAAAAAATCGGAAAATAGTTCAAAAATGGGAAAAAATCGAAAAAACAAAATATTGAAAAATTAAAAAATTGTAACAATGACACATCGAAAAGTTAAAGAATTCGAGAAATTAAATAATCGAAAAATTGAAAAGTTTGAACACCGAAAAATTGTACAATCAAAAATGAAAAATCGAAAAATTAAAAATTGAGAGACGAAAAATCGCAAAATTGAAAACAACGAAAAATTAGAATAACCAAACATTGAAAAATCGAAAAGTAGTTCAAAAATCGGAACATATCAAAAATTTGAAAAATTGAGAAACTCAGAAATTAAATAATCAAAAATGGAAAATCTAGAAATTGAACACTGAAACATCGAAAAACTGAAAAATTAAAAATCTAATACATATTCTAAAAATCGCAAAATCAAAAAATTGAAAACTGAAAAATTGAAAAGTTGCAAAAATGAAATATCGAAAAGTTCAAAAATTGAAATTCGAGAAATAGAAAATCGACAAATGGAGAAATGCAAAATCGACAAATTAAAAATTGGGACGAAAAATCGCAAAAGTGAAAACAATGAAAAATTTAAAACTGAGAGACGAAAATTGGCAAAAATGAAAACAACGAAAAATTAAAAAGTGATAAAACGAAAATGGACAAAATTCAAAATAACGAAAAATTAAAATATCTTAAAATTGAAAAATGGAAAAAATGACATCCTGTGAAAAAATAGGGGGCGGGTGGGCGAGGCTAGTACTTGGTGAGATAAGACTGATTTTGGCAAATGATACCTTCCAAGAAAGTAAAGGGTGGGTGGGCGGGGCTAGTACTTGATAAGATAAGACTGATTTTGGAAGATGACATATCCTCTAAGAAAGTAAAGGGTGGGTGGGCGGGGCTAGTACTTGATAAGATAAGACTGATTTTGGCAAATGACATATAAAAATTAAAATAACCAAAAATTGAAAAATCGGAAAATAGTTCAAAAATGGGAAAAAATCGAAAAAACAAAATATTGAAAAATCAAAAAATTGTAACAATGACACAATGAAAAGTTAAAGAATTCGAAAAATTTGACAACTGAAAAATTAAAAACGGATAGACAAAAAAATCACAAAATTGAAAACAACGAAAAACTAAAATATCTAAAAATTGAAAAGCAGAAAAATCTGGAAAAGTGAAAACGGAGAAATTAAATAATCGAAAAATTGAAAAGTTTGAACACCGAAAAGTTGTACAATCAAAAATGAAAAATCGAAAAATTAAAAATTGAGAAACGAAAAATCGCAAAATTGAAAGCAACGAAAAATTAAAATAACCAAACATTGAAAAATAGAAAAGTAGTTCAAAAATCGGAACATATCAAAATTTTGAAAAATTGAGAAACTCAGAAATTAAATAATCGAGAAAGTGGAAAATCGGAACACCGAGGAATTGTACAATCAAAAATGGAAAATCTAGAAATTGAACACTGAAACATCGAAAAACTGAAAAATTAAAAATCTAATACATATTCTAAAAATCGCAAAATCAAAAAATTGAAAACTGAAAAATTGAAAAGTTGCAAAAATGAAATATCGAAAAGTTCAAAAATTGAAATTCGAGAAATAGAAAATCGAGAAATGGAGAAATGCAAAATCGACAAATTAAAAATTGGGACGAAAAATCGCAAAAGTGAAAACAATGAAAAATTTAAAACTGAGAGACGAAAAATGGCAAAAATGAAAACAACGAAAAATTAAAAAGTGATAAAACGAAAATAGACAAAATTCAAAACAACGAAAAATTAAAATATCTTAAAATTGAAAAATGGAAAAAATGACATCCTGTGAAAAAATAGGGGGCGGGTGGGCGGGGCTAGTACTTGGTGAGATAAGACTGATTTTGGCAAATGATACCTTCCAAGAAAGTAAAGCGTGGGTGGGCGGGGCTAGTACTTGATAAGATAAGACTGATTTTGGCAGGTGACATATCCTCTAAGAAAGTAAAGGGTGGGTGGGCGGGGCTAGTATTTGATAAGATAAGACTGATTTTGGCAAATGATACCTTCCAAGAAAGTAAAGGGTGGGGGGCGGGGCTAGTACTTGATAAGATAAGACTGATTTTGGCAGATGACATATCCTCTAAGAAAGTAAAGGGTGGGTGGGCGGGGCTAGTACTTGATAAGATAACACTGATTTTGGCAAATGACATATAAAAATTAAAATAACCAAAAATTGAAAAATCGGAAAATAGTTCAAAAATGGGAAAAAATCGAAAAAACAAAATATTGAAAAATCAAAAAATTATAACAATGACACATCGAAAAGTTAAAGAATTCGAAAAATTTGACAACTTAAAAATTAAAAACGGATAGACAAAAAAATCACAAAATTGAAAACAACAAAAAACTAAAATATCTAAAAATTGAAAAGCAGAAAAATCTGAAAAAGTGAAAACGGAGAAATTAAATAATAGAAAAAAATTGAAAAGTTTGAACAGTGAAAAATTGTACAATCAAAAATGAAAAATCGAAAAATTAAAAATTGAGAAACGAAAAATCGCTAAATTGAAAACAACGAAAAATTAAAATAACCAAACATTGAAAAATCGAAAAGTAGTTCAAAAATCGGAACATATCAAAAATTTGAAAAATTGAGAAACTCAGAAATTAAATAATCGAGAAAGTGGAAAATCGGAACACCGATGAATTGTATAATCAAAAATGGAAAATCTAGAAATTGAACACTGAAACATCGAAAAACTGAAAAATTGAAAAGTTGCAAAAATGAAATATCGAAAAGTTCAAAAACTGAAATTCGAGAAATAGAAAATCGACAAATGGAGAAATGCAAAATCGCAAAAGTGAAAACAATGAAAAATTTAAAACTGAGAGACGAAAAATGGCAAAAATGAAAACAACGAAAAATTAAAAAGTGGTAAAATGAAAATGGACAAAATTCAAAACAACGAAAAATTAAAATATCTTAAAATTGAAAAATGGAAAAAATGACATCCTGTGAAAAAATAGGGGGCGGGTGGGCGGGGCTAGTACTTGGTGAGATAAGACTGATTTCGGCAGATAACATATCCTCTAAGAAAGTAAAGGGTGGGTGGGCGGGGCTAGTACTTGATAAGATAAGACTGATTTTGGCAGATGACATATCCTCTAAGAAAGTAAAGGGTGGGTGGGCGGGGCTAGTGCTTGGTAAGAAAGCTACTGATTTTTTATTGGTTAAATCAGGAACGGCTCACTCCATTTTCCCAGAAAATTTTGGGGTCGGAACAGCTTTCGACCATTTTTTTTTAAATGTAAATATTTCTCGAGGGCCCCAAATACCTTTTGTAGAATGTAAAACTTTCTCCGGGGGTCCAAACTGTCTTTTTTTATAATGTGAGACCTTCTCGAGGGTCCTAATTGTAATTTTTAAAAATGTAAAACCTTCTCGGAGGCTCCCAAGTTTTTTTAGAATGTGATATCTTCTCGGGGTTCCCAACTGTCTTTTTTAAAAATGTAAAAGCGTCTCGGGGGTCCCAACTATCTTTTTAAAAATGTAAAACCTTCTCGGGAGCGCCAAATGTCTTTTCTTTAATGTGAAACCTTCTTGGGGCTCCCAACTGTCTTTTTTAAAAATGTAAAACCTTCTCGGGGGCCTCAAGTGTATTTTTTTAAGAATGTGAAACCTTCTCGGGGGTCCCAATTGTCTTTTTAAAAATGTAAAACCTTCTCGGGGGCACCAAACGTCTTTTTTTAATGTGAAACCTTCTCGGGGCTCCCAATTGTCTTTTTTAAAAATGTGAAACCTTTTCGGGGGCACCAAATGTCTTTTTTAAAAATGTAAAACCTTCTCGGGGGCCTCAAGTGTATTTTTTTAAGAATGTGAAACCTTCTCGGGGGTCCCAATTGTCTTTTTAAAAATGTAAAACCTTCTCTATCATTTTGCCTCGTTTTCTTAATATGTGTAGACTTATTTCCGTAACAAGAAACTTAAAATATGTCTAAAATCGTAAATTTTTACAGAAGTTGATCATCAAAGTTGCTATCAATGGCAAGTTGGCAACGGAGTTTATAAATCCCACTTTATACTGCTTGGGACGTCCCTGAACACGACAGCAATAACGACACGCCTATGTGTTCTAGCCGCGCATGCGCACGCATCGCGTGTGCTTTGTCAACACTTGACAAGTGACATTTTTAGGTTAACTTTTATTTTCTCACAAAAACACCGATTTTCCCCGAACTGAACATGTAAATTGCACAAAACCACCCCATTTACGTTAAGAATCAACCATTCGACTAAATTAAGTACAACCATCGCTCGCAACAAGTATACATTGTAAATAGGTCACCATGAAGACTGATAACATTGCCCCAGGCGACACAATCTGGAGCAACAACGAAGACTTACTAACAGACGAGGTAAAACCACTAACAAAACCGCCGTTTCATCACAATCACGCATTTCCAGAACTGCCTTCCGGTCATAAACACGTGTCAAATCTCGTCAATTTTATCCACTCTTGACCCGCCAGCAGACAAACCGTTCCAAAATTCGGACGACCCGAAAGCCCCGCTCCAAAACAACTACGTTATTCTTAAGGACAACAGCGCGAAATCTGAGTCGAAAAAGTCGAGTTTGAACAATGGGAATAATTTTGAAGACGTGTTGTATTTCGTGTGTAACTTGTGCCCGTTTCTTTGTACGAAGAACTCGAAAATCACGGAACATTTGGAGAACGCCCACAAGAATAAAACCGTGCGGAAGCTCCCTCATTTGAAATGTCCGGCTTGCACTAATGTGTTTTTTCACAAAATGTCGCTGAGGTCACACTTAATTCACGACCATGGAGTAGGCAACTCGGATATCAATCTCATAATTCAGGCCGTCGTTTATTACGCTAATAAAGCGAAAAACGGCGAACGCAAAACCGTGAGAGCGGACACAAATCAAACCGGTGACAACCCGTCGAAAACGGAGCAGCCACAAATCAAAACTGAGAACGTGCTCAACCAACAAGTCATCAGTAAGTGGATCGGGTCGAAAAAATTCCACTCATGCCCCATCCCGGCGTGCAAAGTCAACCTCCAAAGCGCCGACAACATGAACTACCACATAAGTTGTCACACCGACTCGGGGCTCGCGTGCCCGGTTTGTAGCGAGACTTTCGCAGCCTGGAAGCAAACCGTCATCCACCTGTGGCGACAACACAAAATCGACATGGAGTTGTACTCGTGCGACAAATGCAGCTACAAATGTACGAGCTTAACCAAGCTCAACAACGTCCACAAGCTCATCCACAGCGACGTGCGCGCTTTCGTCTGCCCAGTCTGTAAAAAAGCCTTCAAAAACAGCAAACAACTCGCCAACCATAAAATGACCCACAAAACGAAAAAAGAAATCGAGAAGTTGAAGACCACGTGTGAGGTTTGTTCGAAGAGTTTCTCGGATAAGAGACAGCTGAGGATCCATATGAGTGTCGTACACGAGAAAATCAAGCCTTTTTTGTGTAGTTATTGTGGGTATAAGGGGTCGACGCGAAGTTCGCTTAAAATGCATATACGGCAGCACACGGGGGAGAAGCCTTTCACGTGCGACTCGTGCTCGTATGCCACGTCCGACCACAACTCTTTGCGGAGGCATAAGTGGAGGCACACGGGGGAGAAGCCCTACAAGTGCTCGTACTGTTCGTACGCGTGCATCCAAAGTAGTACTTACAAAGTGCACCTGAAGACTAAGCATCCGGGACAGGAGAAGGATCTGATGTTTACGTGCCAGGAGTGCCAGTTCCGGTCGGTCAATAAGGAGATGTATGTTGCTCATATGATTACCGTACATGATCAAAAGCCACAAAGTTAAAATAAATTTTTATTGTTATTGATGAGGATTATTTATTGTTCTTAGCCTGGCATATACTGCTATAAAGTCTTTAGTATCTCTGACTTCCTGACTCTTGTATAGAAGCCAATCAGGTGACCCGAAATTGGGGTTGAAAGGTTCGGGGTCTGTGTGGCGCCCAGCCCCCAGTCCTGGACCAATTATAAACACGAAATCTCCCTCATAGCACCTAATGTACTCCCGAAAAGCGTCTCCATCGTTAAAATAACAAAACAACAGAGCGTAATTTGGTTCCAAAATATCCGGAGTAGGGGGTAGTTCCGGGAAATTTAATTTAATAAATTGGGGCGTACTATACTTGCTCAACCACCAACTTTCATTGACTTCATACCCTTTCACAGGAAACCCTAATAATAATTCAAACGTGATAAATAAAATTAAATATTTTCATTTTACAAAATTACCGCTATATTTTTCCAAAAGCCACTCGAACAAACCGCTGCCGCACCCAATCGAAATAACCCCACTCAGTCGAAAATCTCGAATAATATGTTTAATTAACAACAAATTATTTTCACTCGGCCAAACCCACACCAATTTCCGCGTCACCGCACTTTCCACCAAACTCAAATCTAACACCTCTTTCCATTTTTGCTCCTTATAAAAACGCAAAACCGTATCTAAAAAATCGCCCTCCATGACAACCTATCGATTCAAACTAATGCCAATTTTTCAACCTTGAACGTGCGCGACTTTGCCAAAATTAAAATAGTGTTCGTAATTATCGCGTCAGCGCTAATTTAAAAAAAAATTATAAAAATAAAATGAAGGACTAATTAAATACCTGGGTTGTCTCTTGAGTTACAAATCCTTTATTACACGCAAATACACTCAAAAAAACTTGACCCCTTGCTCTTCATCTGACAAGATCAGCTCGCACTTTCTCTCCCCTTCGAGCACCCGTAGCGCTTTAATTAGCACGTCTGTGTGGATCCCCGCGAATTCCTTGTCCTGCACGTCCTCCCCCTGCGACAACTCGAACAACGTCAACACACTGTTCTGCATCCCGTTGTCGCAGACGTGGTCGTAAATCATGGCAGCCCACTCCTCCAGAGTGTGCCAGTAAATCTCCCATCGGTTCTTGGTTTTGTCTAGAGCCCCGGCGTTTCCGCTTTTCGATAGTTCAGATAAGATTGAAACTACGACTGTGGGGTCGAGTTTGCGGTTGATGGCTGAGTTGTGGAACAGGGGGAGTTGATGGGCTTCTCTCACGTCGATGATGAACAGCTTGTTCTTCTGGCAGTACTCTAGAATGAGGGATTTCCAGGCAGATACTTGTTTGGAGCGGGTTTCGGGGTGAGGTTGTAGGGTGAAAAACGGGGGGAAAGCGTACTGCCAGGGCCACTCGACTTCGGTTTCGGACATTATCAGGCACGTTGGGGGTGTATCATCACTAAGAACTGGTTTTTGTTGGATGAAAAGTCCACGGAGAGATTTTTGAGGTTAGGTGGGTGAATCATGGATGAACAAGAAAATGACAGACATGGGTGCCACTTTTTTGTATTAGCAACAAATTATTGAGGTTTATTGTAATTATATGGTGTAAATTAATGCCGCAGATTTTTTTAATTGTTAAAATAAAAATATCCTAGTTTTTATAAAGTTAAAGTTGTGTAAAATATTAAATGGTATATGTAGTAGTTCCGGCTTGACAGTTGACATGTAAGTTGGCAGCAACCTAACACTACAAAATGCTAAAAACTACTGAAGTTCCACTACTGAGGTTGCCTTTTTATCTTAATATGTGTAGTCATCTTTTCACAACAACAAACTAAAACATGTTTAAAATGGTAAATTTGTACAGTAGCGGTCATTTCTACGGAACCACTCGATAAAAAGTCAAGTTGGTAGCCCTGTCATCTAGTACTTTACGCCGAACGCGGTTGGTAGCGGTAGTTGATATGGCAATCGAAATTAGCACAACACGAATGTTTCGGTTGCCCTCAGCTATGCCGCACTGTATCCCGTACAGACTGTATGTTCTGTCCATCTATTTATTAAAATAAAATATCTACATTGACAATGGGGCCATCTAACCTGTCAAATTTTTGACACATATGTTTCCCCCAGAAACCCGTCAAGGTCACTTACACCAAACAAATTTTGAAAATTTACACTAGGGAGTGGTTCTATAGAAAAGATCGCGACTTTATAGGGAAATATCGATTTTGCAATTACGCTCCGCCCCTCGGTCTGACAACCAATGAAAAATTCATCACGACTGAGATCGAGACGGATGGGTGGGGCTTCTCTTTTGGTTCTCTTTTTTAATTAATACATCTTATTAATTAAATTATTAGTCTTATCTTAGCAAGTACAAGCCCCGCCCACCCACCCTTTATTTTTTAAAAGGGTTTGTATTTACCAAATTCAGTCTTATCTTAGCAGATGCTACCTTTGCCCACCCGCGCTGTTCTCATTCTAACGACTTTATTTCTCTTTGGTATAAAATCCACCTGTTATTCAGACAGATAAAATGAGTCACTGAAATGGATAAACAGATCAATTTTATTTAGTGATTTACTGTGCTAATCACAACCTTAAAGTGTTTCAAATATTTCCGAGCAATCGGTTTTATCTAAGGGAGATTTTCATTTTTTTTTTTTACTACATATATTGATTTTTTTTCCAAAAATCTATAGACGTTTAAAACTTTTTTAACTAAACGTTTAACTTAAGAAGAAACCAAAATTACTGGAACAGTTGACAACTTATATACGTAGATATTTTTGCTAGACGTTTTAAAGTCTCTATAAATATTTTACAACAAAAATGGACACTCTTTTCTTTGTATTTAGTCTTCTGGGAAATGTACAGTGTATTTCATAGACAAATTTTAGTTAAGTCAGGTTGAACAGGTTCAGGTCAGTTTAGGTCAGGTTAATTCTAGTTAAATCAGAGCAGGTTAAGACGTGTCAGGTTAGGACAGCTCAAGTCAAGTCAGATCACATCGGATCTAAAAGTTGCATACTTTAACTTAAAAGTGTGACTATAACGATAAAACGCATGTGTAGAATAAAATTTAAGGAGCAAAATTTTGAAATGACGTCATTGTGATTTAAGAGGGGATAAACAAATCAATTTTATTTAGTGATTTACTGTGCCAATCACAACCTTAAAGCGTTTCAAAGATTTCCGAGGAATCGTTTTTGTAATTTCTAAAGATTTTTAAATTGTTTTGTAATACATTTATAGATTTTTTTTTAAATCTATGGACGCTTAAAACTCTTTTAACGAAACTATTTTCTTAAGAAGAAACCAAAATTGACCACATTCATAAAAATTAGTGGAACAATTGACAACTTATATATTTAGATATTTTTGCTAGACGTTTTAAGGTCCCTAGAAATATTTTACAACAAAAAAGGACACTCTTTCCTCTCTATTAAGTCTTCCAGGAAACCTATAATGTGTATCATACACAAATTTTAGTTAAGTCAGATCAGGTCGGTTCAGGTCAAATCAGGTCAGGTCAGGTTAGGGCGTTATTTTAGCAACTTCTAGCCCCACCTCTCCGCCTTCTATTTCCTTAGAGGGTATAAGTCATTTACCAAAATTAGTCTTATCTTAGTAAGTACTAGCCCCGCCCACCCGCCCCCTATTTTGTTCGAGGTTATGTTATTTGCCACAATCAGTCTTATCTTAGCAAGTACAGGCCCCGCCCACCCACCCTTTTTTTAGAAGATATGTATTTGGTATTTACCAAAATCAGTCAGGTACTTGGTAAATACTACTTAGTTCTCTTTGTATAACACGATTATTTAAGAACAATTTCACATGATAATTTCTGGTAGAAAAGTAAGGATTTGACAATTAAGCTCCGCCCTCTTGGCTCACGACGAATAAAAAAAAAGTCATCAGAATTGAGATATGGCGGGTGGGTGGGGCTTATATTTTGCCTTTTTTTTTAATATACATAATTGCAAGGAAATATTGATTTTGCAATTATGGGTCGGAGCCTGATTGCAAAATCAATATTTCTTTATACAAATTTTCCATTTTAAACATGTTTTAAGTTTCATGTTGTGAAAATAAGTCTACACACATTGAACCAAAAAGACAAAATGTAAGCCCGCCCACCCACCCTGTCTCAATTGTGATGATTTTTTTTATTCATCGTGAACCAAAAGGGCGGAGCTTAACTGCAAAATAGTTATTTCTTTACAAGAAATTAAAAATATGTGTTGTTCAAAGAATATTATGTATATTAAGAAAAAAAGGAAAAATATAAGCCCCGCCCACCCACCCTATCTCAATTGTGATGATTTTTTTTTTAATCGTCGAGAGCCAAAGGAACGGAATTTATCTGCAAAATTCTTATTATTTCTCTAAAAAAAATTACCATGTAAGACATGTTTTTGAGTATCATGTTATTAAAAAAATACCCTGTACCTATATTAAGAAAAAATTAAAGGCAAAAATTAAACTCCACCTATACCCGCCCTGATCTAAATAGTAATGAAGTTTTCATTCGTTGGGAGATCTAGGGGCGGATCCAATTGCAAAATCCATATTTCCTTAGAAAAATTTACCATTTTAAACGTGTTTTAAGTTTTTAAGAATAAAAAAAAAATCATCACAACCTTTTGGATTTCTTTTTTTACTTAATACATACAGTTTGCTTTGAACAATACGATTACTCATGAACATGTTGCACATGGTAATTTCTTGTAGAAAAATAAGGATATTGTCATTAAGCTCCGCCCCACGACTTACACGAATGAAAAATCATCACAATTGAGATAGGGTGGGTGGGCGGGGTTTATATTTTTCCTTTTTTTCTTAATATACATAGTATTCTTTGAACAACACTATACTTAAAAACATGTTTTTAATTTCTTGTAAAGAAATAACTATTTTGCAGTTAAGCTCCGCCCCCTTGCTTCACGATGAATAAAAAAAATCACCACAATTGAGGCAGTGCGGGTGGGCGGGCTTCCATTTTGTCTTTTTGTTTCAGTGTGTGTAGACTTATTTGCACAACATGAAACTTTAAACATGTTTAAAATGGAAAATTTGTACAAAGAAATATCGATTTTGCAATCAGGCTCCGATCTATAATTACAAAATCAATATTTCCTTGCAAAAATCTGCGATTTTAACCATGTTCTAAGTTTCTTGTTGTGAAAAGATGGCTATGTATACTAAGAAAAGGCAAAATATGATGATTTTTTTTATTTGTCGTAAACCGGGGGGTGGAGTTTAATTGTAAAATTCTTACTTTTCTACCAGAGATTACCCTGTGTAATTGTTCTTAAATAATCGTGTTATACAAAGCAAACTGTATGTATTAAGTAAAAAAGAAAGCCAAAAGGTAAGTCCCACCCATCTAAATCTGGCTTTAATTTTTATTTGATATACACAGTATTGATTAAACAACAGGATATTTAAAAACATATTTTACATGGTAATTTCTTGTAGAGAAATAAGGATTTTGCAGTTAAGCTCCGCCCTCTTGGTTGACGACAAATAAAAAAAATCATCACAATTGAGACTGGGTGGGTGGGCGGGGCTTATATTTCAACTTTTTTTCTTAACATAGGTAGTCATCTTTTCACAACAAAAACTTAAAACATGTTTAAAATGTTAAATTTTAAAGGGAAATACGAATAATGAAAAATTCATCGCGAGATTAAGCTCCATCCATATCGGCCCCGACCTCAATAGTGATGAAGATTTCATCCTTGTCAGACCGAGGGGCGGAGCCTAATTGCAAAATCCATATTACAGTACAAAGAATTACCATTTTAAACATGTTTAAGTTTCTTGTTGTGACAAAATGATTACGAATATTAAGAAAAAAGACAAAATATAAACCCCGCCCACCCACCCAATCTCAATTGTGATGATTTTTTTATTTTTAGGAACTTAAAACTCATTTAAAATCGTAAACTTTTGAAAGAAAATACGGATTTTACGATTAGGCTTCGCCGCCCCTAGGTCTTGCCAACGAATGAAAACTTCAGTACTATTTAGTTCAGGGCGGTTATGGGTGGGGCTTAATCTTTGGCTTTTATTTTTTCTTAATATATATATGTACATAGTATTCTTTAAGTAACACGATACTCAAAAACATGATTTAAACGGTAATAAACTCCGCTCCTTTGGCTCTCGACGATTAAAAAAAATCATCACAATTGAGGTAGGGCGGGTGGGCGGGGCTTATATTTTGCCTTTTTTCTTAATACACGTAGGCGGGTATGGGTGGGGCCTAATCTTTGTTTTTTCTTAATGTACACAGCATTCTTTGACCAACACGGTTTTGCAGTTAAGCTCTACCTTCTTGGTTCACTACGAATAAAAAAAATCATCACAATTGAGATGGGGTGGGTGGGCGGGGCTTATATTTCGCCTTTTTTTTCTTAATATGTGCAGACTTATCTCGACAACAAGAAAAAGTAATCCTCCACTTTTTTTTCCACAACCCTTTTAATAAAAACGGCAAACGTTGAACATCAAAGTTACTATCAACGCCAACTTGGCCACGGTCTAGGAGACATTTCAAATAATTTTCAGGAGAATACATAGGTACAATGAGAACAGACATCGTTTTCTGTAATTAATTTAGAGACATTACATTTTGTAGCAAAAAACAACTCGATGGAATCCATTTTCGTTTCGTAAAGTTGACGTTTATTGTGGTTTTCGATTGATTGGCAGCAGTGAGTGTCAACTGTCAAGTGACCAGCCGGCGAACAACTTCCAAATATTGTAGAAATTAAAACTAAAATAAAAGATAACTTTTAGCCGATTCGTCGATATACGTGGTGAAAATGACCGCTTTCGAGGGTAAGAAAACCACTAAAAGTGTGTTAATATAAGTTTGAGGTTATGTCTTTCAGAATTCGGGGTCCTGTCGGAAATTGGCAAAGCCATTGACGAGATGGAGTGGACGTACGTTTCCCCGCTTGTAACTCAACCGCTTGATTTGTATTTTGTAGTTTGCCAACGGATATTCAAGCTGAGGGCATCCCCCTAGTCCTCGGTGGTGGTGACGTTTTAATGGCTGCTGAAACCGGTAGCGGAAAAACGGCCGCTTTTTGTTTACCCATTATACAAATAGTGTGGGAGACCTTGAAAGACATACAGAGTGGAAAAGCGTCAAAAGTCTCGACTTCATCATGTATATTACAGTTTTTAAGTAAATTGGGTCTAAAAGCGTTTTTGCAGCTAAACCCTGGACCATGTCCATGATAGACAGGGGCAGCGCTTTCGCTGTGGCCCCCTGTGGCTTGCGGGTGCAATCCAGGGAGCAGCGGGAGTGGCATGGGGGGCGCTGCACCAGGGGCGTTCAAGGGGGCGGCAAATACGCGTTTGAGGCCACCGTGACCGACGAAGGCTTGTGTAGGGTGGGCTGGTCGACAATGCAGGCGAAATTAGACCTAGGGACATGCAGGTGAGACAAATTTGTGCTTGCGCAAGCGCATAAAATTAAACCATTTAGATTTGGATTTGGGTTTGGTGGCACTGGTAAAAAATCCAACAACAAGCAGTTCGACGATTACGGCGAGCCCTTCGGCAAGAGTGACGTCATCACTTGTCTGCTCGACCTCGACAATGGGCAGATTAAATTTTTGAAAAACGGCAGCGACCTTGGCAACGCCTTCACGATCAATAAGCAGGCGCTGAATTCGGCGTTTTTTCCCGCCGTCGTGCTTAAGGTTGTTGTCACACTTGTCTGGACAAATCTGACTGTCGTTTTTAGAATGCGGAAATGGCGTTCAATTTCGGCGAAGAACCCCTTAAACACAAGCTTCCTCAAGGGTACGTCGCTTTAAAATCAGCCCCCAGTGAAAATGTTGTCGTTAATGGAAATTCAAGCGATAGCGGTGGCGACAATTCCGTCAAAATAATTAATAATGCGCCACAGGCCATCATCATTGAGGTTATTTTCCTAAAAAAATGCCTAGTACTTTATGCCACGCCGTGCTTATAAAATTTTTGCAGCCGTCTCGCGAACTGGCCGAGCAGACCTCCAACCAGATAAAAAAGTTCAAAAAGCATCTGCAAGACCCGCAAGTGCGCGACCTTTTGGTCATCGGGGGCGTCAACATCAAGGAGCAGATATCTACGTTACAGAACGTGGGGGCTGACATCATAGTTGGCACCCCTGGCCGGCTCGAGGATTTAATCCAAGGCGGCTATTTATCTCTTACTCATTGTCGCTTCTTCGTCTTGGACGAAGCCGACGGTTTGCTAAAACAAGGCTACACGGAACTGATCGAGCGTCTGCACCGACAGATGCCGAAGATCACCGCGGATGGCCGAAGACTCCAAATGATCGTCTGCAGCGCCACCTTGCACGCTTTCGAAGTGAAGAAAATGGCGGTAAATTCGAATCGGGGTATAAAGTGTGTAGATTTATGAGTACTTTCAGGAGAAATTGATGCACTTTCCGACGTGGGTGGATCTGAAGGGTGAAGACGCCGTTCCTGAGACGGTGCACCACGTGGTGGTGATGGTGGATCCCCAGAAAGACAGAGCGTGGGGTAATTTGCGTAGACACGTGATGACTGATGGGGTGCACGCCCAAGATAACGTGCGACCGGGGAATAACAGCCCTGAAACTTTGAGCGAAGCGGTGAAGATGTTGAAAGGGGAGTATTGTGTTAAGGCGATCGATGAACACAATATGGATAGGGCTATTATATTTTGTCGTACGAAATTGGACTGTGATAACTTGGAGAAGTATTTGAAACAAATCGATAAAAATAAATATTCGTGCGTGTGTTTGCATGGCGACCGCAAACCCAACGAAAGAAAAAATAATCTAGAAATGTTTAAACAAAAAAGGGTGAAATTTTTGATCTGCACGGATGTTGCAGCTAGAGGGCTGGATATTACAGGGTTGCCTTTTAGTACGTAAAATAGATGAGGGTGGTTGGATTTTAATGTCTGTGTTTCTAGTGATTAATGTCACTCTTCCGGACGAAAAGTCGAATTACGTGCACCGGATTGGTCGAGTTGGGAGAGCTGAACGCATGGGATTGGCTATAAGTCTGGTGAGCTCGGTCCCTGAAAAAGTACATTGTTGCCAACCGTAATTGTTTGGATAGTTTATTTTGGTTTTGTAGGTGTGGTACCACGGGGAGTGGTGCAAAAGCCGCGGCCGCAATTGTTGGAATACCAACTTAGTAGAACAAAAAGGCTGTTGCATTTGGTATAACGAGCCGCAGGTTGGTATACTATTATGACCACAATAAAAATATTTATGACGTTTGATTCAGTATTTAGCCGACATTGAAGAACACTTGAATGTCACGATTCAACAAATCGAGCCTGATTTGAAGGTGCCTCATGACGAGTTCGACGGAAAAGTCGTCTACGGTCAAAAGCGCAAACATCAAGGCTCGGGCTACCAAACTCACACCGCCCAGATGGCCCCCATAGTCAAAAGTCTGACCAAACTCGAGAGCGACGCCCAAATGTTGTACTTAAAGCGCCACCTAACCAAAATGGCGCGAGCTTAAAACACAATCTGAGGTAATAATGCATACATCAATTTATTGAGATAAACAATATAATATAAAATACAATAGTGTAAACAAATTAGACTAGTAAAAAGAATTTTATTGCAAAATTCAAATAAATAAAAAGAATCCCCAAAAATTTGCATTGTGTCAACGGCGCTACTTGTAAGATAAAAATTTAAATATATCTCGATTACAACTCTATTTATCAACGTCACTGATTTTTTCCCAATCACCATCCGTGCTACTATTACTACTAGTTGTTTCTAGACTAATCGCCGAATCGACTTTATTAATAGCTTTCGTTTCTGAATTTTTTAATTCTTGCTCTAAGGAAACTTTAGAACTACTATCACAAGATTCTGGAATTGTAGAAGACGGTTTTTCAGGTTTCGTAGCGGTGTCTTGTTTGTTTTTAATCTCTTTTTCGTATTCCTGCAGCAGTTTTATCTGTTCTTCTTCAGTCAGTTCGATGTAAGGGGCAAAATCCTCTGAAAATTAAAACGACAATCAACTTCCCCCAATTATATCACAACTACCTTGCTCCCACTTCACATTCTCTAACGTCATCGACTTCTCCTTTTTTTCCTTCTTTTCCATGGCTTCCTGGTGAGCGATATCATCTTCTAAAAGCGCTTTTTTAAATAAATACCTGAAAACACACACAATCGGTTTGAATTTCGCGCCAGTATGATTAGTCGTAAGCGCCACCTTGCAACTAAAACACCAACTAAACTGTAGTACGCCCGCCTTAACTCACCTTTTCCAGAATAACGTATGTGGCACAGTGTCAGGCACAAGTTTTTCATATTGGTTTCTAAGAACAACGGAACTCTTTAAATGTTTGTTTATCCTGTCTTCGGACAGCTGGTCGTCGACGATTTCCAGCCAGCACTCGAATTTTTTCTTGAGCTCGTCGTCCGGGTCCTCCGTAAAAGTCGTGTCGGTTTTTTGTAACTCATAGACAGCTCTTTGTAACTTTGTCAGTGTGACGGTTTCAGAATCTTCGACGATTAAAATGGCTTCGGTGTCTGAATCATCGGGACTGGGGTTTAACACAGTGTTCATTTGACCTAAAGCCACAGAAATAGAAAGTGGTCATAACGGCACGTCGCATTACCAAGAAAAGAACTGAAACTTCTTTTCATGGAGCTGGCAGTGGAGTCAGGCGAGTCCAGCTGAAGAAAATTAATTGAAAAATTAATATGTGTGCAATTTTTGATTTAATTCGGCTGCGTTAATTCTCTGTGACGCGTAGTAATGTAATGGAAAATCGACTTTGATAAGGTTTATTGGTTGTTTTCAATTAGTGTTACCTTGAGGGTCCTCTCGATTGCGTTGCCAGTGGAAGAAACTACCAAAGTTGCCTCGTTTCGTACGACGTTCCCGAACTCCTCCAGGTCTTTTTTGACGAACTCGAGCACCTTGGAGCTCTGTAAATTTTTTTATGTAATAAATAAATGTTTACTTTATTCACCTGTTGTCTTTACCTTATCTTTCGCTGCGTTCAACCAACTTCCGAACCAGTTATCATCCCTGAAATGACGCAACATTTCTGATTAATTTACTGTTTATTAAAGCAAACAACTGATTTCGGGTTATTGTTATTACATATGGACGCAATATTGGTCGTTGTTTATTAATTACGACATGTCAAACGTATGGTACTTACTGTTCTGCCATAATTTTGTTTTTTGAACGACACTGTTAATATTTCACGTGAAATTTTGATTTTTTATGGAGACAAACTGTTAATTTTGACGTTTTGTTTTCTTTTTGTTAACACAACTGATGCCTCGCAGCCATTGTAAATAAGCAGGTAAATAATGACAGTGCTGGTAATGCAGAGCGCGCTTTTAACGACAAGTAGTGCAGTCGGTCCGGGTAAGATGCAGACACCTAACTCGAGAATGAATTTTTTTATTGTTACATTTTTAATAATTATTTATTGAATTTTGCAACTTTTTTTACGTAACATTTAACGGAGAGAATATAAAGAAAGAAACTTTAAAGACCGTTATGCGATTTAAGGTTTTTAATGAGGTGCATAGGCAACCAACAATACATCAGTAGCCCTGTATTATAAACAATAATAATTTCAAAACAGTTTAAAAGTGCTAAATTGTTGCTATTTTATTATTATCAATATAATAACGAGGTGAAATGTAAAACAGATAATAAAAAATAAAATGCGTGATAAAACACTAGGGGAAGTCATGCTCATTTGCCATGTACATATCCCATAAATATCCACAATATAAAACGCATTAAAATAAACATTGTAAGGAAGATTATACATGATGAATAGTTTGTTAGAGAGCAACTCTGGCGTGGTAAAATATGTAAATCAATTTCAAATTGTATAACATGCAATAAATCAGTTTGTCATTAAAGAAAATTATTGGCGAGATAATAAACAGACAGAATAATATTATGTCGGTGTCAACTCTTATTAAACATGATTATGCTTACAAGATTTCTATAAGTCGTTTCCGCACTAAGCAACTGTCCCCGGTTCCCGCAATCCTATGACGAATTTTTTTTGGAAACACCTAATCTGATGGTTTACCATAACAATGATTTTTACCAATTACAAGAATGTGGTGACGCAGTGTAAGTACCAATGATTAAAAAATTACACTGTCATGGTATAAAAATACAGAAGTTCTGACATCTTAATCAGAAATACTCGTTTACATGCGTTGTTATAGGGGAATAAAACGACTATGGATTAGTAAACGCACATTTTCTCATTTTTGATTCGATAAAACGCGCTTTATAAAACAGTATGTTATTCAATGAGCGTGTAATGATGCGATTACTCCTGGGGATGAAACTATTTAAATGAGTAATGTAATTGCTATTACACGCTAATAGAATATTATCGTTTTTCTGTAAATACTCACCGTAAAATAACACGCTTATTTGTTGTAACATCATAAGGAATAGAAATATTTCTTATTATTTTATTTCAATTAAAATGTGTACAGGAAATGCATATTATTACATTTTATGCTTCCTAGGTAAGGCCGTGATTAAAATTTTACACCCACACGCAACAAAGAATGGCTTTTTCTTCATATTTATTATATAGTAACCGCTGTACAGTTTTATTATAAACAAAGTTTTTATTTACTTATAATAACTACCAAAGATTTCATTTAATACGCAATATTTCACTTATTAGTAGAGATATATTTCAAGTATCGGTCTACGCTTGTGATTCTTAAACTGGGGCAGATCTTGTTTTGAAATAATTTGAAAAAATCTCGGGGATCCCTTGTGTTTAGTTTTTGCAGTAGTTTCAAAGAATCTCAGGGACTTCTTGTGTCTTGTTTTTGAAGTAATTTGAGATCATCGTGGGGACTCCCTATGGATCTTGTTCTTAAAGTAATTTGAAATCAACATGGGGATCATTTGTGTTTGTTTTTGAAGTAGTTTGAAAGAATCTCGGGGATCATTTGTGTCTGGTTTTTGAAGTAGTTTGATAGAATCTCGAGGACTTCTTGTCTCTTGTTTTTGAAGTAGTTTGAAAGAATCTCGGGGACTCTTTGGGTCTTGTTTTTGAAGTAATTTGAAAGAATCTCGGGGACTCCTTGTGTTTTGTTTTTGAAGTAATTTGAAAGAATCTCGGGCACCTTTGATTTTTGTTTTTGATGACGAAAAATTGGGAAATCGCAAAAAATAGAAAAATCGGAGCATAGAACAAATGAAAATTCAAAAAATCGAAAAGCTGAAAAGTCGAAAAATCGAAAAATAGATAAACTGAAACATCGAGAAATCGAAACGTCTAAACATCGGGAAAATGAAAAGTTAAAAATTGAAAAATTTAAAACTTTAAAATTAAAAAAATAGAAAACTTAAAAAATTGAACAACTGAAAAATCGAACATCGAAATCTTGATAAATCGGGAAATCGAAAAATTGAAAAACAGAAAAACTGAAAAATTGAAGAATTAAAATTTTGAAAAATTAAAAAATTAAAACATCGAAAACTTGGAAAATTGAAGAAAAATTGAAGAATAAAAAAACTGAAAAACATCGTAAAAACTGAAGAACTGAATAACTGAAAAATCAAAAAATCGAAAATTGTTCTGAAAAACTGAAAAATTGGGAAATCGAGAAATCGAGAAATCGAGATCTTAGAAAGTCGGGAAATCGACAAATTGACAACAGGAGAAATCGAAAAATCCATAGTTTAAAAATCGGAAGATTGAAAAATCGGAAAATTGAAGACTGAAAGACCGAAAAATTGGAAAGCTAAAAAGTTGAAAAATCGAAAAATTGAGAAATCGAGAAATGGAAACATGGAAAAATTGATAAATTAAACATCGAGAAGTCGAAATGTCGAAAGATTGGGAAATCGAAAAGTGGAATAGTCGAAAACTTATAAATTGAAAAATTTTAAATAAAAAAACAGAAAACTTCAAAAATCGAAAAATCGAAACACCGAAATATCGATAAATGGAGAGATCGAAAAATTGAAAAAATTTTAAAACTGAAAAATTGAGAATCGAAAAACTGACACTCAAAAATCTAAAACCAAGAAATTGAAAAATCGAAAGATCGAGAAATTGAAACATTAAAAAGCTGAAAAATCTAAAATTCAAAAATTCTAAAAATTGAAAAACAGAAATATCGAAGAGTTGAAAAATCGAGAAATCGAAGAGTTTAAAATTTAAAAGTCGAAAAATCTAAAATTTCAAAATCGAAAAATGAATAAGTCGAAAAATCAAAAAATCGATTAATCGAGACATTGAGAAATCGAAAAACCGAAAAATTGAAGAGTTGAAAAACTGAAAAATCCCAAAATTAAAAAATCGAAGGAAAACTGAAGAATCAAAACTTGAAAAAACACCTAAATTTGAAACATCGAAAAATGGAAAATTTAAAAAATCGAAAAATTGAATTGAAAAACTGAAAATTCGAAAAGTCCGGAAATCGAGAAATCGAGAAATCGGAACAGGAAAATGTTCAGAAATCGAGAAATGGGAAAATCAAAAAGTCGAAAAGTAGAAACGTCAAAAAATCGAGAAATCGAAAAGTCGAAAAATCGATTAATCGAGACATTGTGCAATCGAAAAATAAAAAATAAAAAAAATTGCAAAAAAAAATCATAAACTGAAACATCGGAAAATTGAAAAATCGAAAAGTAAAAAATCGAGAAATCGAAAATTTGAACAATCGAAAAATCAATAAAAAAATTGAAAAATCCCAAAACTGAAACATCGAGAGAATGAGAAATTGACAGTTAGAAAATACAGACAACGAAATTTCGATAAATTGACAAAGCGAAACTCTGAAAAAATTGAAAAATTAAAAAATGTAAAATCAAGAAGTCGAAAAATCGAAAAATCGAGAAATCGAAACATTAAAAAGCAGAAAAATCTAAAATTCAAAAATTCTAAAAATTAAAAAACAGAAACATTGAAGAATTGAAAAATCGAGAACTCGGAGAATCTAAAATTTAAAAATCGAAAAATCCAAAATTCAAAAATTCTAAAAAATTGAAAGCAAATATCGAAGAATTGAAAAATCGAGAAATCGAAAAATCTAAAATTCAAAATCGAAAAAGTAAAAAATCGAAAAATGAATAAGTGGAAAAATGAAAAAATTGATTAATCGAGACATTGAGAAATCGAAATATCGAAAAATTGAAAAATTGAAACATTGAAAAATCCCAAAACTAAAAATCGAAGGAAAACTGCAGAATCAAAACTTGAAAAAACGAAAAATTTGAAACATCGAAAAATAGAAAATTTAAAAAATCGAAAAATTGAATTGAAAAACTGCAAATTCGACAAATTCGGAAATCGAGAAGTCGAGAAATCGGAACCTAAAATTTTCAGAAATCGAGAAATCGGAAAGTCGAAAAGTCGATTAATCGAGACATTGTGAAATCGAAAGTTTAGAAACGCCAAAAATTGAAAAATTGAAAAATCGAAAAATGAAGAATAAAAAAACTGAAAAACCCCAAAACTGAAACATCGGAAGAATGAGAAAATGGAAGTAAAAAATACAGACATGGAAAAAATCTCGATAAATTGAGAAATCGAAAAACTGAAAAAATTAAAAATCAAAAGATCGAAAAATGGAAAAGTCAAAAAATCGAGAAATCGAAAAGTCAAAAAGTTGAAAAATGGAAAAGTCAAAAAATCGAGAAATCGAAAAGTCAAAAAATCGATCATTCGAGACATTGTGAAATCGAAAAATCGAAAAATTGAAAATTCGAAAAATTGAAGAATCAAAAAATTGCAAAAAATATTTGAAGAATCGAAAATGAAGAATTAAAAAACTGAAAAATCACAAAACTGAAACATCGAAAGAATGAGAAATCGGAAGTTAAAAATCTCGATAAATTGAGAAATCGAAAAATTGAAAAAATTGAAAAATTAAAAAATCTAAAACCAACAAATTGAAAAATCGAAAGATCTAGAAATCGAAACATCAAAAAACTGAAACATCGGAAGAATGAGAAAATGGAAGTAAAAAATACAGACATGGAAAAAATCTCGATAAATTGAGAAATCGAAAAACTGAAAAAATTAAAAATCGAAAAATCGAAAACTTGAAGAATCGAAATATTGAAAAATCCTACAAAATCGAAGAAAAATCGAGAAATCGAAAAATGTAAAAATTAAAAAGCAAAAAATCGAAAACTTGAAGACTCGAAATACTGAACAATCCTACAAAATCGAAGAAAAATTGAAGAATCAATAATTGAAAAAAAAAAACTAAATTTGAAACATCGAAAAATGGAAAATTTAAAAAATCGAAAAATTGAAAAACAGAAATATTGAAGAACTAAAAAATCGAGAAATCGAAAATT